ATCAGAGGCAGCAAGGAGGAGGTTCAGGAATGTCGATGCCAACAATATTTTCTCTTAGTTAAGTACCAAATGGCTGAATAACATTTTCAATATTACATTTTCAACTTGGTGGCAAGTGTACCACAGTTTTTTTTTTCCTGGTCATTCATAGTCACTGGTTCTCGGTCACATTGAAAGCTAAACAGTGACCCTGGCGTCTGCGTGTGACTGCACACGTTTAACATGTGCCAGCTCCTAGAGAGCTATTAGGCACTCATAATTGTTACATCCCTTAAATCCTAATCCATCCGTCAATGGGTCACTCCAACCCAGTCGGTGCCCGACAGCAATCTGACCCCAATTTAATGGCGGATCTGCAGAGGATTGCAGTTTCCCTTCTCCCATCCACTAGCCTCCACGGTGCCAAGCAGGATCAATCACGCCCCGCTGAGGCCTTCGAGAGGAAGTGAAGTCGTGTTTGACCCTGTAGGGTTGCTGCCAGACGATGATAGTAAGCGGAGGGGACAGGTTCCTCCTGCCTGCGCTCCCCAGACGACCAACCTGGACGAGAGTGGACAGCCAGGGGAATAGGGATGAGCAGTGGGATGATGACCGTATGCCAGTGTGAGAGAGTGCAGATATGGACATGTGTGCCCCCCAGTGAGAGGATGGACTTGGATTTGCATGGTGTGCGTGTGTGTGTGTGTTCGTGTTTGTGTGGTTATGAAGTTGAGTGATGCGGTCAAGCATGTGCACTGAGAGTGGCTGAGAGTGTATTTTGATGTCGTGTCCCCATATCATAGTAGCAGGGAAGTGATAGCAGAGAATTTTAATATTCAAGACGTGATGTGTGAACGTGTAATACTAAGGAGTGAGGTCTGGGTAACTTGCCAAAGGAAGATAAAAATGTTGTCAGTTGTTCTATTTGTGTTTGACAGCATCTGATGAGTGTGATTGATTGATTACAGGTTCTGAAGCCAGGATCCACCTCTGTGAAGTTCACTTTGCCATTTCCTCTTTTTCTATTTCATGGAAATAGATTAATCTGTAGTCACAATGCCACCAAACAAACAAAGTCAATAACCGCAAACAGTTTACATGTACTCAGTCATTCTCATGCTAACAGCTCCATGTGCTGTCCCCCCTATATGATCATGGCAAATGTTTTCATTCCCAAAAAATCGCTAATGGAAAGTATGACACAAGTAGTGTACTTGAGCGTGGATTTGAGGTGACTGAACTTAAATTCTATAGTTTTATGTTTACAGCTGTTTACTTTCCAGATTAAGGTTTTGTGCTTATTTGAATTGAAAGAAGATTTTAACTCCGCCAGACCTCCACTGAGAAGTTTCTTCTTCTACAACCCCACCACCAAGTTTCGTTAATAATAAATAAAAACTGAACATAAACAAAGGATGGCGGAGTTTAATACATTTCCTCATTCGCCAATATTTCACAAAGACGCCAATGTTAGAGAACCATTCAAATAAAAACGTTAGAAAAACCACAAGGCTAGTGAACACTATTAATAATTTATAAAAAATCTCCACCTGGTGCAGCCCTACAATCCAATAATGTGATATATTTTAAATAATAGTCAAAGAGGCTATCTATCCACAGAAGTACTTTTACTTTTGATACTGTCATTGCATTATGCCAATAACACTGCTTCTGTACTTTAGTTAACTTCATATATCTTCTTTAATCCCTCTCAATGTGACACCCTCGCTTTGGTAAATAACAATCATTTAATCATTTCTTTTGCTCGGCCTTGCTGAAACGTTTTGCACATCTCTGCAAATATAATCAATAAGCTTCTCTCTTACCGGGTTAGTGCGAATGACACAACATGCTGCTTCTTCTCTAATAGGCGAATAAGCGACACCACACAAGCAGGTGGAAACTGCCAACCAGAACAAAGCGAGCATTGATTTACAGTCACGGTTCCTGTGCGCAGCCCCCCGATTGCTTTTGGAGGAAGAGGGTTGGCTGAAAAGGCCGAGTCTCCATGGGTTTACCTTATTGAACATCAGTAATTGGCAAGATATTGTGCAATTTGTGGCATCTCTAGCGAGCCGCTCTTATATATCAGCGGTTACCGTCGTGATACAATAAGTGAGAAATGGGTCGAATAACAGACGTGGGTGACACTATGTTGTGGCAGGATTGATTAGATGAATTAAGGAAGATATGGCTCAATGTTGAGTCCAGTGGTTCTGCACTCAGATCGTCGATTCTTTTCATTCCTAAAATAAAAAAGTCCTCTTCCTCTGACACAGCAGCCATGACATTGGCTGTTAAAGTTTACTGCCAATGGGCCCGTAAAAGCAACTTCACTTGAGTCTCAACCCAATGGCCCAGATGTAGTGAACCTATAGCCTAATACTAAAAAATACTGTCACCTACTCCTTCCAAAATTATCGCTAACGTGGAGGCTTAGCCTTCAATGGTTTTCAGTACATGCGTGTTTGTGCAATGGGATGTGGGCTCACACCCCATTGCGAATTAGCATTAATAATTTGATTAAAAAAAAAAGAAAAAGGAGCAAACAAATGCGTCCATGTACACCTGACTTCACAAATGCAGTCAACAGAAGGGTGCGCTGCAGGCCAGTTATGGGGAAGGGGAGAATGCTAATGAGCGCTCTGTGTAGGGCGCGATCACAGAGGAGCGGGGAGAACGGACTCGTGTTTTTGGCCTCGCCGCGCTCCAGGGTGACGTCGGTGCTGAGAGATCTGGTGCTGCTGGCCAAACCGCCGCTGTCCTTTCGCCATCACCCAAACGCCTGGCTAACGCGCGCAAACGTTGAATCCGTCCACTCTGTGGCCTTTTCCTTTTGAGAGCCGATTCCACAAACGAGTGCCCAAAAAAAAAATGGTAACAGCAACTTGCAAAATGTCATTCAGCATTTAGAATCTTTTGGGGATGCACTGTTCTGATCCAACAGAAGAGTGAAACAACCTTTTCAGGAGCCAGGACAGGAGGCGGAAGTATTGCTTTCTCAGGCCCAAAGCCTGTGGAAGCACTCAGAATGTCGCCCACGCTCGCTTTAGGGGGAAATGGCCAACCAAATGGCATATTTAACAGCCTCTGTTCACTGTGACATTTTTTAGTCACAGTCTCTTTTTTTTTTTGCAACCCACTCCTCCTCCCTGTGGTCACCTCTGTATCAAGCCCTTTCTCTCTGGAGTTAATGGAATGGGATTGACCTGCTGTTTTCACATTTGCTCCTCTGAAAGTGTTGTGTTTGAAAGTGTTTTGTTTCTTTTGTTTTTTTAGGGGGGGAGGCTGACCTTTTTTAAATGCACAAAAATACTTTCCTAATGAAAGTGTGTGTGTGTGTGTGAGTGAGAGAAAGCCCCCTGTACAGTTATGCTCCCTCTATAATGCTATATGATATAACTGTTACATGAATGCATTTCCTTCATGATATTAATAACCTTGAATCTGTGTGGATTCACCATTTTAGAAAAATGTTAGAATAAAAAATAAGCACCTGAGAAACATGATTACATATGTATGCAATTCTTAAGATGATACTGAATCGCAACTGCATGGTGGAGATTATGATGATGATGTTATAGCTGCAAAGTGCAACCCTGTGGATATAAGGCGTTTAGCTGAAATAACTCTGGTAATGATCTTTGCAGTAAAAGGTTGCTTGTATGTTCAGGAGCAGTAAGTCATGACCTCAGATGATTCAGGGGATGCTATGGCAGCTAGGTCTGTAAATCTGAAAACAACTCTTGACTCTCACTGTCATTCCCAGACGTCGCTCTCTTCCCCACCGCTTACTTCTCTGCAATAGATCATATTGCTGTATTGCATTATATTTTTACTCCAGGAAGTAACTCTGCGGTGTCCAGTGGAGGATGTGGAATTGTACATCAGCTAATGGATAAAAGAAAAAAAGGATGAAAGCATGTGACCTCTTTGTCTAGTCAGCTGAAAGTGTTCCGGGTGGCGGTTTTGTGAAGTCATCGTTTCGACTTTGCACACTTTGTCGTGGACAAATGCAGCCACTTTCCCAGCCGGTCTCCCCCGTATCCGTTAGCCTAGCTGTGAGGTGGTCAGCGGTGCGTCTGCCTGTTAATCTCTGTCAGTGTTTTCCCTCCAAGCACAGCGGAGCCCGTCTGCGGGGGGTTAGCAGGAAGTCAGCTGAGACGTTGAAGTTCAGTGTGTGTTGAGTTGAGGCTGTTTCTCTGTGAATACTGATCTAACTCCATCAAATCTGTCAACCCACGCTTCTGACCATCTCTGTTTTTTCACTCACTCAGGCAAACTATTGCAACTACAGTGATCCTGAGTTATTCATAACTCAGGATCACTTCCACCTTTTCTTTACACATCTTCCAACCTTCTGATCAGGATTGTAACAAGATTAAATTAAGGAAATCCATAAGAGATAACAGATTCCACTTGGATTTACATCTGCCAGTCTCCTTCACCCGGGGGGGGGGATGTTAAGGCGCCATTTAAAATCCTCACAGGATTTAGCATCTTGGTTTTCATTTGCTGCCTTTTTGGTTGCGTCTCACCTTGAAGAAGAGGCAGTCCTCGCTGTTATGGCACGGGTTAAATAAATGGCTTAACTGATTTTGAACTGTGTCACTTTACCGCTGTTTCATTTTCCTGCCTCTCTCTCTCCCCCCTGCGCTTTCTCTCTGTCAGCAGAAAGCAATGCGGGCATGAAATTGCAGAGCAATAATATTGTTTAAAGCACTTTGGTCCGACGGGCAGATATTAGAAAATCAAGAGAGGAGGTTCGTTTCTCATAGAGGCGGCACGCTCTCCCTTAGAAGTTTATTGGAATTGTACAGTAGTCTGAACATGCAGATGTTCACAGAGGCCCATACTCTGAATGCAAGGAGTGCACATCTGTTCGTGGATGCACTCACACACACACACACACACACAGACACACACACACACACACACACACACACACACAAGATACAAAACTAATTAGATGAATAAAAAGATCAATATTTATGAGAAATATCATCTCTCTTTGCAACTAGACCCCGCCAAAACGCCTGACAGGCTGCTTCTGAATGCCCGAGTTCCTCTCCGGGATTACTGAAAACCGCCCAGCACAGATACGCGGATGAAGCGGACTACATTACGGTGCGTAAATGTACACACGTGCACACTCATGTCAACGGCGGGTCTCCGTGACTCTTTGAACCGCACCAGGAGTTCACTGTTGTGGTGGAGAATAATGATTGACTGGATGGAGCCTGATCCGCGTCAGACAGAGAAGGAGACTCTGAACTGTGCTGCAGGCAATTACTTTGTTTTAGAGGGAACGAAGGAGGGAGGGAGGGAGGGAGGGAGGGAGATCTGCACGGCTGGGGGAAGGGCTGCTGTGAGTTCACAGTGACACCTGCTGGTAAACGGTAGTGCCAGAAACCCATTAACTGAAGGAAATTATGTTTTTCATATTTTCACTCTTGTCAGTCTCACTTACTGTACCTTCTTTCTTCAATTCCTTCCGTCTCCCTTACTGGTTTATGGAGCTCGATAGTTAAAGTCAATACATGTGCTGCATAGACCCACACATGTTTCTATCCGTATCCTTGAGGACGTTCCATTGATTCTATTGATTTGTAACCTTGTAACCTCAAAGGCACTATGTCTCTAGCAGTCTGTCACTGTCAAATTGATTACATATCACCAATTACACTTTTTGATATTTCTGTGAGGCTTTGGAGGGTTTTTTATCCGCACGAGGAAAGAACTTTTGCATGTTTGTAGGACTGCTGTGTGGCAGATTTGTGTAGTTACTCTGTCTAATGTTAAGCTAACTATTGGTCAGTACTGTTTTTTTAATTTAAGGGTTTTGAAGCTGCAATGGCTAATTTGTAATAGATATTTTTGATTTTAATGTGCATGTTTGAAAGAGGCTTTAAAGGAAAGTACGAAGGAAGTACAAGAGTGCGTTTCTACCTTCTTGCTAGGTTTCATACTAGTTCTTTAAAACAAAATCAACTAAGGTAATAAAATGAAGTGCAATGATGAGACATAAAGAGACAGAAAGGGCATTAAAGCTGCTTTGTGATTGAAGCGTGATGCAATGCACATAAATGCTGTCACCTTACTATATACAAGTTAAAATTCAACCCTCCCCATGTTACATGTGCTTTCTAAGCGCTGACATTAATGCAAGCTGCATTGCTTCACATGTGTCAATATGTGAATTGAAAGAAGGTTGGCCTAGGCTCCCACATAATTCGTTATGTTAAATAAATTATCCCTCCAGACTACAGAGAGGCACGTAGTCCAAAAGACTGTCCGATACAAGCACGTTTTGGTCCAGCAGTTTCCAGCAGGTGTTGGGTTGCGTGTTAAAGAGCACACAGGTTGTAAGAGAGGTGCATTATTTCTTAACTTCCCCTGCCTGGATTTTCCCAAATAGTCACCCAGATCTAAAGTTATAATCCGCCTCCTTATCAACCTCCATCCTCAAGTTTTTACCTAGAATAATTTGAAAAGATGGGTTTGCTTGCTGCATTTCCTCTGACATTTACTGGGTTTAATGACACGCCACTTTCCAAACAAATATTAACCGAACGCATTCAATTACTAAATCACCTTGGTCCGGTTGCCAAGCAACATTACTGCAAGAGCCGCAGCTTCCACTTTCTTTCCGCCTCTCTGGTGATTTGTCTTCTGTTGTTTATACACATTAGTTTGAGAGGAAAGAAGGTGGGGGGGACAGGGTGCATGAGAGAATGGATTTACAATGGGACAGGCACAATGGTAGAGACAAAACAAAACTGCCGCAATGTATGCATGCAGCCGCCCACACAACGGCACACAAACATAACTTTTCGATTTCCAATTAGTGGGTTGTTGTTGTTTTTTCCCTCTTCCACTGCTCGATATTTACATCCAAGCTCTTTCTGGCTTCCCTGAGTCATCCCTCTTCCACAAAGAATCTGTGACGGACTGTAACGCACAAGCAGTTTTACGGTAAATGTTTCTTTCCTCATCTGTTGTCCAGCTGTGTGTGTGTGTGTGTGTCGGTGGGTGCGTGTGCAGGATAGCTGCAAGCATGCACATTTATAAACGGCAAAAAATATATTTGATACATGTCTGCTTCAATAGGTTGTGTGCTTTTTGTACATTATCATCGATATGTAGTTGGCTGTGTACTTATCTGATCAAGAAGCAGAGGGGCCCCGCTCCGTCATCCGTCACGACAGGACCGCCGACAAACAACCACGTACAGATGCCCAGCCAGAGGTTGAGGAGCGCACTGCGCTGTGTGTGTGTGTGGCTCTCAAGTGGCGTCACTCCTCGTGTCGGGCTCCATTACGTTTTTCTTGACAGCTCGGAAGGGGTTAGTGTTTATTCAAACAATTCCTTTTTTAATTAAAGATGTATATCACTCATGTCTGTATGGAAAAAAGATGAATATGCAGCGCATCATCTTATTTTATGGCAAAGACCGAAAACCTAAGAGAACGGCACACAGGGCCTGGCTAGCTTTCCCTCCTGCTTTCAGTCTTTATGCTAAGCTAAGCTAACAACGTACGTAGAAAAGCTGTCTGTATTGGAGCTCACTACCCCTCATTATAATTATTCTCATTGCTCAAATCTGCTGGAAGAAAATCTGCTCTGAATACCAAAGTGCTCGACACCCTTGAACTTCTTCATGGACTTTTGTCTTTGTCTGTGGAAAGTGAATGCCCATGAGGTCAGATCCACATTACACAGTACACATCCCATTGACAGATGAACAGTTCCATTAGAAGGTTATAGCCGAGCTGAAGATTCTCTAACAGCACAATTATTAGAGAGGGGAGCAAATGTCAAAGCCCTCATTAAGTCCCTTTGGTGCCAGTGTGTCCAGTGAATAAATCCGAATGGCCTCCGTTCTAAGTGGGAGGGCACAGATGTCATCCCCTCTGTGGCAGCACTTAACCTACGCATTGCCATAAAATCTGACTGAGGTCATCAAGCTTAAAGTGCTTTTCCACAGACCCGCCGATGAGAGCTCAGGAGTACATACAGGACGAGAAAGCCGCAGTTGTGCACCTTCCATCATCGATAAGTTTGCCTCCAACCTGAAGGAATTGTGTGTATGTCCCGTACGCCTACACTGAGGTGTCCTTAAATGAGGCAGTGAACAAAAGGGTGCTTTCCTAGCTTGCTTGCAAAAAGTATAAGCTCAAAAATATTACCGCTGAGTTTCTCCGGCGTCTCACCGGCGAAGATGACTCCGCTCAATGCCCGATGCCGTTTTCCGAGCTGAATTTTGACAATGCCCCACTAAGTCCATTTTCTGCCTCGAACACTGGAACATTTCCAATTGGTGTGTGTGTGTGTGTGTGTGTCAAGGAGGTATGTATTTTTTGTGTCACATCAATGAGTTCCGTATGAGGCATGTGAAATGAGATTTGAAATTCATGTTTGTTTTTTTATCAGTATTCCTCACTCAATAGGATCTCCTTGACTCTGTTCCTGTGGTTCTTAGGGTTGCATAACCTTGTGTTTGGTTGACAATGCCACATATTTTACTGCATTTATCTGTCCTGCGTACCTTCTCTGATGCTTTATCAAATTCAGAGCTGACATTGAGAATTAACAAACTTGAACGCTGAATTATTCTCTCATTAATAGCATTCGTTGTCTCCAGATGCTGAATCCTTCTGACTTTATGTCCCTTTTCCTCTGGCCCCACCATGACTTTGTTATTTGGATTTTAGTAAATGTGTCTAAGCTACTATTGAATGCATTTCCATGAAATGTGATAACAGCCATTGACGGTACCCAGAAAAAGTGTATTAAAGATCATTTTGCATCAACAGGTTAAAAGATTAATTGGATTTCGTGAAATATCTCAGCATTTTGTACAGAATTATGAAGAGTCATGATTCCTAGAACAAGAATCCTGCTTTCTTTGGTGATGCCCCTCTGTCAACCCATGAGTTTGACCTTTGTAGTTTTGAATGAAATGTCTTGACAACTGCTGGATGGACTTCAATTGATTTTGACTTGTAACTTGTGCGGAGATCCTTTAATTTTGCATCTGGCTCCATCAGGTCGACAGGAGCCTCAGCTGTACTCTGCAAACTGTTCTCAGTGCTAATTAGCAAATGATAGCATGCTGACAAGATTAAAAGGTTCATGGATTTGTCGTTTTACAACACAGGAATGCACATGAAATATGAGCCCCTTTGCGCTACGCACACATAAAACATAGTATACATATATTGAAATTAGATTAAGATGCGATAAAAAATACGGATAATGAATCTGTAAACATTGTGTCCGTTAAATTAATCACAGCCTAAAACAACAGACTGTGCCCCTGGGTTGAATCCCCACTCAGTCTCGATCCCGTGTCAAACACCGCAGTCTCTTAAAGTAAAATTAAAAACCTCAGCCGTTATCAATCCACAGATGCACAAATAGAACACATTGTACAGAGGAGTCACAATGCTGTGCATAGTTTCAGTTTGATCTCACAATGTCTTCATGTTTTAGTGTTTTTCCTTTTGCACATTTACCGTGAGATGCCGTGGATTCAGTTCCAAGGTTCATATGTCGAGGACGGCTTCTAGTTCCTCATTGGTTCGGATTTGAAGAGGCTAAAGTGAATATCGGCTTTTGCAAGACGATCAATATAGAGAGGTCTTGCTTTTCTCAGACAAACAGTGGTAGAAAATGATTTTAAAAAAGGCGGAGCTGAGATTATTGTTTGAGACCAAGCCTCTAATTTCTGTTTTGCTTGACGGATTAATTATTCTATTACACAGAGTTTTCTTCTTTTTTTCTAAGCCGTCCTGATCGAATTGCTCGAGGTGAAAGAGAGAGTATGGGAAGATAGCAAGGAAGCCAGAAGGATGGATCGGGAGAAGGGAAGGAGATTTTTCTTCAACTCCGATCCCTCTTTTCTATCTGGGCTTATACCTGGGCTTCAGAAATAAAGAGTGAGCGAGCGGGATGCAGACAAAGCACGGGATCAGATGGAGGTGAGGCGGGAGGGAGGGAGGGCCGCGAGCGGCTCAATTGGGGGAAGCTTATCGCCGTGACGCACATCTGGGCCGCCGTCCTCCACCTCTCCTCATATTTCCGAGATGAAAGCGCTTTTAGGCCAACGGCTGTGCCGAGGTCAG